ATCTGCCATCCACCAGAGAGTTCTCAATGATAGCTCGCTTGTGCTTGTAAAAGGTTCGGTTAAAATCGAGAAGATTGGCTTCATTGCACCAGGTTTAGTCCCATATGGCTCAGTATCTCTCCACAGAACTGCTGGCCTCGTAGCAGCTGGGCTTGATAGGAAATGAGCGTAAACTCCACTAAAGCTGTTGGGCGAAGCTACTGAAAGAGCTTCGAGCTGGTTGTGATCACAACGGAACGACGTAGGGATAGGCATCGGTAGACTACACCCAGCCCCTGGAGGAAAAGAACTTTAGACCCCTAAAACCAAAGTTGTCCGATCAGCGTTTGCCTTTGTTACTGCCAACTGCCAAAGTTTGTCTGATAAATGTCTGTCTGATGAACCAACCGTCCATTTGTCACTCTGGTCGTGCAGGTAGGCGCTTAGTTTGCTAGTGCGGCGAGGATAGATCATAATCTCAGTACCTGTTGCAATAATCACCATAACGTCTTGTTCGGTTGTATGATCAGCGCAGCAGGTGATCCCAGGCCTGGCAGTCAAGACCCAGGTCCGTCTGCTCCCGAGATTTTCAAGGGAAGTGACTCTCAACCTTCCTAACGCCGCCACCCTTTAATAAGTTCCTTATGAAGTGGCGACTCCCCCCTCACCCCCCCCCCCCCCACCCACCCAGACATACAATTATTTTTGTTACTTCGTCGTAACTTCAATTAATATGTGTTTTGTGATGGTCAGGCGACCCCTGTGAACAGGTTATTAGACCCAAAAAGGGTCGTGACCGGCTGGTCTAGGGGATACACAGGCCGAAACAATTATTGAAGAAGCACCACCCACTGATGATCAGCAGACTCCTCCTGTGCATACTCCCCCTGTGGTTCTTATTATTACATTATTGCTCTGGCAATATAAATGTATAGTCAAAACAGCAATATATGGTTTTCGGCATAATTGGCAATTAGAAGCAGATGTGAATTTTGTTGCATATCCTTCACAGACTGCTAAAGACCATTTGTTGACTATTTGGCTCTACAAGATATTTTGTTAAAACACCTAATAGATTGCTATTATTTGACATCATGAGAGCTAATAGACTGAAATGGTTGGGGTATATTGAAAGAATATCAGATGACACAGACGTAAAAACTGTATACACAAGGGAGATGAATGGTCGTAGACCACGAGGCAGACCAAGAAGACGATGGAGAGATAATGTCCAGAAAGACCTGCAAACACTTAGTGGTACCAACTGGAAAGAGTAGGCCAACCAGAGAAATGAATGGAGGCGGGTGATATCTGCAGCAATGAACCTCATGGACTCGGAATGCTGAAAAATAAAAAAAAGAAGAAGAATAGTTTGTCATTTCTTCCCCTGTGGTTGGATTGCGATATGAATGGCTAATCATTACAAAGCTCTCTGCCAATGGAAGAAGAGACAGCTTTTGACTACAATACTTTATCAAAACATTTTATAAGTTAAAAATAATCTACATTTAAAAAAGACATTGCCACCTATTTTTATGGCAACAAAATAATCCACAGTAAAACTGCACTAAAACAGATTCATAAAGCAACATCCATGTAAGAAAAAATTAAATAAATAATTTTTACAAAGGTAAAATAAACAAATTTTAATCAGTAATGAGTACAGAAAGTAACGAAGGCTAAGATAAAATTATAAGATTACATTTAAAAGAATTCTTTTAAGAGTATGACATCAAAAATGTTTTATAGGTTACTGACAAAAATATAAAAAAAATTGGAACAAGAAAAATAATAAAACTAGTCCCCGGGAAAACAAATATCATAAATGTACAAAGACGAATCTGTCAGTTGAAAGGTGCAAAATACAGCAGTCATGCTATAACAAGCGCAACACAATTACTTTCTTGGATGCAGAAGCTGAAGTAGGAGAAGGTCGAGAAGGATGAGAGGAAAAAATCAGCATGCAGAATGTGATCATTTCTACAAACAAATATTGGCGTGTGTGCTGTAAAGTAAATATAAAAATAATGAAGACTTCTGGAGCCCTCTCAGAAACTGGTAAAAACAGTGCACACGAGGTAAAAACAACATCCTAAATGTTAATATAGAAAGAACAATCATGTACCAGAACAGTACTAAAAACGACATCCTAAATGTTAATATAGAAAGAACAATCATGTACCAGAACAGTACTAAAAACGACATCCTAAATGTTAATATGGAAAGAACAATCACGCACCAGGACAGTACTGAAAACAACATCCAAAATGTTAATATAAAAAGAACAATCCCGCACCAGAACAGTTCTAAAAACAACATCCTAAAAGTTAATATGAAAAGAACAATCACGCACCAGAACAGTACTAAAAACAACATCCAAAATGTTAATATAAAAAGAACAATCCCGCACCAGAACAGTTCTAAAAACAACATCCTAAATGTTAATATGGAAAGAACAATCACGCACCAGAACAGTACTAAAAACAACATCCTAAATGTTAATATGAAAAGAACAATCACGCACCAGAACAGTACTAAAAACAACATCCAAAATGTTAATATGAAAAGAACAATCACGCACCAGAACAGTACTAAAAACAACATCTTAAATGTTAATATGAAAAGAACAATCACGCACCAGAACAGTACTAAAAACAACATCTTAAATGTTAATATGGAAAGAACAATCCCGCACCAGAACAGTACTAAAAACAACATCTTAAATGTTAATATGAAAAGAACAATCTCGCACCAGAACAGTACTAATAACAACATAATATAGCCACACATAAAAAAAGAAGGAATCTAAAAAAAACACAATCGAAAAAAATAAAGACAAATAATCATCGTATAACATTATGTGTAAACTATTGCAAAAAGAAACACAGAATTTTCGTTTAACATTGTGTGTAAATAATGCACACTATAGACAACAGCAACATGATCTTAAAGCAACAACAAAGTATCGTGTTTATGTTTATATTCAACGGATCAACATTCTGGCACACGGATGTAACCTAAGTGCTCCGATTTCCTTCTAACTCAAGACAGAGCTCCGTTCTACGTCTAACTCAAGGCTGAGTTTGAAGAATCTCAGCGCAATGCACGAACTCCGTTGCACCAGCTAGGATCCTGAAATAGCCGTTAGGCTACTCTTTTTCGACTTTAAACTGCCGAGGGATTTTTTTTAACGTGCGCAACAATACATATGGGCGTCCGATCTCACTACCCAGAGACCAAGGGAAATTACAAGAAGTCCAAGTGAAACAAATCCCAGCTTTCACCGAGGCTTGAACCGGAGACCTTCACCACTCGGGGCGGATGCCATACGCCGAGACCACCCAGTTCCCTAGCAACAACGAAGTTCAAAGGTCAACAATCAGAAATGGGAATTAGTAACCATGGAAACGAATTGTCCCAGGAAATCTGCAGAAGTGACCATGCACAATAAAGTCATGCACGAGGTTAGAAAATAAACTGCCTATTGCCAGTAAAGAAAGTAAATAAAATAAACTGACATCCTAAAGCAGTGATCTACGAGTATTTTCAGGTTCTGCCTCTCTTGAGTATATGGCAAAACCCTCTATGCTACATCACCCCCACCCCTCCTTTCCCCTTTTTTCCCCACCAACCCTACATTAAATCAAAATGTGATTAGAAAAGCAAGAACAATCAATAGCACTGTTAATAAGAGGTTGGAGAAAAACATGCACACAAAATAAAATGTCAAATGACAAAAAAAAAAACCAAAAACAATCACCACAGATTTGTAATTTAGTGTCCAAATATCCACGTTATTGCCGATAGCATTTTCTCATGATGATATTTGCTACTTTTGGTCTGAGATTGGATAAGGCACAAACTACATCACTCTCCACATCAAGCTAGCAACACTATTTTGTTTTCATGACTGTTAATGCTAAAAATCCAGATCATAACAAGTACAAATGCACTGAATATAAACATTGCTTGAAGCCCTCTAACATACCCTCCCCCACACAACACCCTAGGGAGGCACGGCCCCCACAACACCCCAGACAGGCACGGCCCCCTCCTATCAGTCTGGAGATCACCGATGTAGATAGCATGACTTGTGATGTTGTCCCACACAAGGCCCACACACACATAAACACTCACAAACATACTCACACCCACTTACACACACACACATTCCCTCACACACACACACACCCACCCACATACACACCCACCCACATACATATATATACACACACTCACTCACATACACACTCACACACACACTCACACACATACACTCACACACACCCACACATACACACACATGCGCACACACACAAAACAAACTATATAACTATTTAAAAATAAACAGAGTAAAAGACACTTTTCAGGCCACAGACTCATCAAGCATACGGTGCCCGACACACACTGTTATAGATCAACTGGCAGTCGATGGCTGATGTGGTCCCCAGCAGACTGGCTGCGTTTATTTCTCCATGACATTACCTAGTACCCTTTTTAGACGAGGTCGACCAGCCAACCAAAGTCCATTTTGAACTCTTTCAGTGCCACAGGGTCATAGCTAAGTTCAACGCAGTTACAATTGGTAATCACGGTTACCCGTGATCTCATAGGTATATCTTACGGGTATATCTCATTTGTATATCTCATGGGTATATCTCATTGATATACCACTTTCAGAAAGGCCAAATATACAACCCCTGCAGGAAACAAAATATGTTTACAGAGTTCCACGGAGTCAGTCACTAAACATAAGATATAAAAACGTATATAACATGATGAATGATACACATAATTAATACATAGTCTATCATAGTTTATTGTTTGGGATAGAAAGAGTTTTTAACAAATCAATCAGTCTTGATGCCGACTCGAAACTAAGATCTTCAAGCTAGCAGGGAAGTGTCTGTCTAAATTGCTCCAAAACAAGTATTATATCTATGTCTAAATGTTGGCAATTTAGAAAAGGCAATGTCTACTTCAGGGCAGATGAGAACAAGCGAAGCCAGGCTCCTTCCACTTCAGGGCAGGATGAGAACAAGCGAGGCCAGGCTCCTTGAAGCTACATACCACAGAGCTAATTTGTCATTTTCAGAGAAACGACTGATACAGCTGGCAAGTTTGAGGTCAATATTGCTGACTTTCACAGGAAACTGCTGTGAACTGACTTGCTTTTCTGATGGAATAAATACGATGATAGCTCTTTCTATTCCTGTTGTCTCTTTGTAGGAGGTTATGAACAGCTTCTTTTCCCTGGGGTCTTCAATTCTGCAGGCGTTGTCTCTTGTGCATACTTCCACTGGAATGTTTTTGCTTTTGAGAACTTTGACAAAGACAGAATCTTCAGCCATTTCCTCCACTACTATCACAACGTCAGACCAGGCTAAAGCTCTACTCTCAAACACCTCAGGTTTCTGAAAAAATGAGCCTTTTGGTGACGTACTGGACAATAGAAAATGACCACGCTCAGATGAGCCTCTTTTTATGAGTTTTGTTTCATAGAAATTATGTTTTCTTTTAGAACAAATTGTCTTGTCATCAGGCCTGACCATAGTGTTCAGAAATGTGAACAATTCATGAGCACACTCCTGGCATTTAGCTGGACCGCCAGTTTTAGAATGAAGAGCATGGTCAATAATTGTCGGCTGTGGTCCATCACTTGGTAGGCTCATCTCTGTGTGACTGTGGCCATCACAAAATTGACCTGTGGTCAGCTGTTTGGGAGTCTGGACATTCCTTCTTTTATATTTCTGAATTCTTGTATTCAGCAAATCAGAGCTGCTTTTTGCACTGTAAGAATTTTTGCTTATTTTGTATTTGTTATCCGCAGTCAGATTGACCAAAGGTAAGCCATTCGATTGGCCCCTAGACCCATACATGATGGTATTTGTATTATATGGCGATCTCTTCAGTTTTTCTTCTCGCTGACATGGATCTAAGGGCCTTTTGATGAAACTACCACTATACTTTTCCATGAGTCTCTTGTTCAGTGCTTCTGAATCTGTCAAGACGGTAAACTGAGACCAAGTTTTACATCCAAGGGAAGACATCGTAGATGTGGCATGACGTCCACTGCCATACTTTTCTGCAAGTCGCTTTTCTAGCGACTTTTGGTCGTGCTTCAGACCATCAAACTTTGACTGAATCTTGTGACGAGCCAACTCTTGTGAAACAGTTTTACTCCCTGTAGCAGCCACGATTGTAAGGCTACATTCTTGATTATTTGTTTGCCAAAGTCTGTTATTCTTCGTGGCTTCTTGCTGATACAAATCTAGGGACGTTTCGGTGAAGTGACCTCTATACTTTTCCGTGAGTCTTTTGTTTAGTGCTTCTGAATCCGAAACAATAGTGAACGGAAACTGAGCGTTATTACTCTGTAAAGATATCTCAGATTTGACATGTCGCTCACTGCCATACTTTTCTGCCAGTCTCTTTTCTAGTGACTTTTGGCCATGCATTACATCTTCATTAAACGTTGACTGAACCTCTTGAGGAACCATGTCTTGAGGAACGCTTTCACTCACTGGAGCAGTCGTGGATTTTAATTCACACCTTGAACTGTATTTTAAAATAAGTCGATTATTCAGTGATTCTGGGTCACACTTCACTTTCTCAGTTCCCAAACTTGTGACCTTGTCATCATTTGCCATTTTTGTACTGATTCTGGCTGAATTTAGCTCTTTCAAATGTTGAGTTGGCTGTTGTTGCTGACTTGGATCTGACGATACTTCAATTAGACCATCAGTTGCTACATTCGTACTGCTAGTAGCTAAATCTGGCTTGTTTGAATTAGCCCCCTGACTGGTACCTGAAGTAGCATGAACAATCTGAAGCTCTTTGTTAAACTTTCTCAGAAAATAAACATTGAATATCTGAATGGCTTCATCGAGACGTTTCTTGCAGGTCTCAGAATCCTCACTGTGCTTGTCAGTTTTGAAGAAATGGTCAGAAAAGAACCGAGCAAGCTGAAAAACATGCATGTCATCAAGCGAACTTTTATCTTTCAGCAACAATTCTTTACTGAGGTCAGAAGATTCTCCCAGTTTGTTATCAGAACACGAAGAATTGTCTCTCTTCATTTTCCTAATGCTGTCTTTGCTAAGTACAGGTAGCAGAAACATTTGCTTGTAAACCTGTCTGGCTTCTGAAGTACGTAACAAGCCCATTGCCGGTCGCAACTCTTTAGTTGACTGATATGCTTTCTGATATGTGGTACAAAAGGAAGAATGTTTGGTCCATATGTTGTCCACAATCTGGCCACGATCACTGGTATACGCTCTGAAACTGTTTTTAACATATTTTTGTGAAGGGTTGTTAGAAACCTGCATTGTAAACTGTCGGAAATGTGAAAGAAGACTGTACATAGATGTTACTGATTTGTTGTATTCCCTTTGTCCTTTTTGAAGTTCTGAGTAATAAGCAACACGACTCTTTTGTATGGTATCAGTATATTTGTTATAATTGTCATTATTCAGCACCGTAGAATGTTCTGGCTCCATGACAATTCTCTGATAAACTTTCTCATACGGCTTCTGTAGTCTGACAGCCTCTTCTGTATGTCTAAGGACAGACTGTACCACAGGAGGACATCGAAGGATTTTATCCATCTTGTGTGTAGCAAAAGCTTGAGTTGTGTTTGGTAGATCCTCGTGAAAAAGCCCAGCACACCAAATGTTGCTGACCTGTCGACGGCACAGGCTGTCAATGACTTTATGAGACGATGGTGTTACTTCATCCATTATAACACAATAAGAAGACACAACACTGTCTAAATCTTTTTCTTGGAAATTCAGTGGATCAATATTTATCATGCTCAAATGTTGCATTGGAACCTTGGATTCCAACATCATATGGATTAGTCTGGTAGAAATTCCATAAGCATATGGGAATCCAGTTGTAGATCCAGGTCTGGAGTTGATCAACACAACCATTCTTCCAGCCAGTAGCCATTGTTTCGCTTTGAGCGTCAGGACCAGAGTCTTTCCAGATCCCGGGGGTCCATAGAGAAACATGTGTCTGACATCAGAACACAGGGCCTTCAGCTGGCAGGGAAGAAGAACAAACTTACAAAACCTCCCGGCACATGTCTTGACCGCTTCAGATGCACTTCGAACCTCTATACGTGGATTGTTTGGGCTCCATACTTCAACAGTTGAGAAGAGACCGCAGTATCTGCGGAATCAATGTCATATGAAGAGTTAAGTACATTCAAGTTAAGGTCGAGAGGATCATTGTCCCTGCACTGGGATCCTAGTGTAGGTTGCAGGAACCCACTGTATGGGAAACATATGAACAGGCCCACTGGTTCCCCAACACGCACTTCATAAAAATGGACTAATTTGAGGCTGTTTTCAAAGTTGGAGTGCATCTGTCTACGGAGCAAGGAACCACCAGTCTGAATAAAAATAAGTCAGATCTGTAAAACGGATGTGCACGCAGCACTCAAATTCTGGAACAGGAGCAAAGTGCAGAAGTGGACGAACAGCCAGAACTTTACACTGCAGTATACAGCCATCAAACGCTAAAGAGGTGGGGGGGGGGAAGGAAAAAGAGATGATTTTACTGAACTGGGTTATCCCACGTGGTTAAGTTTCTCTCAGCAGAGCAGCTAGCCACTGCCGAGAATGTCATGAAGCACGAACTCTGAAACTCCAGTTCCAATTCCCTTGGGATCTCTGGTAAAACTGAACTCGTGAACTTAACCATGCATCATTTTTGGAAAAACAGAAGAGACCCGCACCTTTTAACAAGCATGTCGTAAGAGGCGACCAATTAAGGGTTCGCTAAATTATTTGGATCAAAGGTGCAGATATTACAGCCTCGCTGTGAATCAGAACAATTTACTCAAACTGCCCTTTAAAGGAACAAATGCAGAAGAAAAAGAAGACCACTCCCCTCAGAAAATCAAAGTAAATGTATGCCAATTGTAAATTTAAGTAAACAAGATATAGAGAACAGTCAACACAATGTCCTCCAGCCCAGCCAATTTTGCAGTCTCCTGGCAGGTGACCTTGTTCAAACTGGCAGTTACATCTGAGTAAGGCTTTTTGTATTCCGTTGAAAAGATTACTTTATCTGCCTCGTCTGATTTCACTGTTACTGTAGCTAATGACACAGAAGGAAACACATTGTTTGATGCCCAAGTTGATAAACACATTATGAAAGCAAACATAAGGCTGGAAACAGAGGATGTGGGCACTTGGGTAGCCAGATTTACTCATATTCTCAAACCAAAATTAAAATGTAAGGGAACACATTGTTTGATGGTTGAGATTCACTAGAGTGATCCCATCTCACACTAGGCATTGTTTGGAACTGAAAGAGTTTGAAGAACAGCTGGCATATTTTGTTGTGGTTTACAGCTAGGCTGTCAAGGAATGAAAATAACCAGTGCCAATCATCCTTCTCTGGGCCATAAGATAAAAGTTAAAAATGAAGATGGTAATGATGACAATTTTTCTTTTCTTTTTCTTCGCTCACCACGATAAAAGGCGAATGGCATGTTGTGTTACAATTTGCTCTTTAGCTGGCTTTGATATCTGCTCTCTTTTTCTCAGAATATCAAATTTCAGTAAACCATTAATTCATCATCAAAAAGCTGCTCGTTTACAGAAAGTCGTTCACTTCAAGGCAGAACGTCTCTCTTTCTCTAGTCAATTCCCCAACCCTATCTGCTTTCATAGCCAATACATCTGCAACGTCTTGTATCCACAATCGCTTAGGTCTGCCAAGACTGTCTTCAATATGTGTTTTTTTTTTGGGGCACTTAACACTTCGCAAGCATAGTTGATACCACTTTACAATAGCTTTTTCCATAAATTTAAATAGAAAGCAAAGTAAAACACGTAATAACACAAGTAACAAAAGCAGTTCCACTGTTCGTACCATTCTGAAAAACTACTCACAGACGCTCGCCGTGATCGGAAGGTCGTGGGCTCGCTCCCTGGGGGAGCCAGACTTTTTTTCAAAAATGACCTTTGCTTCCAGGTCGACCCAGCCTTGAGTGGGTACCGGGTGCAGTCCCGGGAAGTAGAGGCGGCCGGCGTGATGCTGACCACATCACCTATCTTGTGCCGATTGGTCCATAAAATATGGGTCTAGCCCTATATGCCCTGTACGCCTAAAGGCGTGGAAAAGGGTGCTTTACTTTACTACAAACGTTTTGTTAAGCCCACTCTTTCCAGCTGATCAGAACTGTTACTTTGCCTACATTAAAGATAGTATTGGACTGCCTGTGCCTCCTTAATTATTCATCTTTTGCAGCAAGCCTTTTAAGAGACTGTGGGTCCATTCTTTTCTGTGTGGGTGCTTTAATAATATCTTACCCCCATATGACGTCAGAAGACAGTCCAGCATTTGATGGGTAGTAAGACAGGGTTTCCCGGCTTTCTGATGCTTTTAACGACCCCAGAACATCTAAGCTGGCCTTAACCCTAACAAATCTACGTCCCATGAGAGAGTGCAGCCAAGGTCCCACGATTGTTTGCAGCCTAGGTCCCACGTCTGTATGCAGCCTTTCTAACCCCACCCCCCCCCCGCCACCCCGAAATATTAGTCTGTCCCGTGACCTGTGGATTTCCCCTGTTTGGGGTAAGATAGGATTTTTCCATATAAAATGTGGCCCAAGAAAACACATAGTGAATGTTGATGATAGTGATAAACATGTGGATAATATGGTATTCTCGAACCTTCCAATAAGCTGTTTATATTCTGAGAGTTCAATTCTGCTGCCACTATTTTCCTCCAGAAATATCTTGACCTTTTTCCACCAGCTGATCAACCTTCCCTTGACCTCTGTTTTTATAGAATTTCTTAGAGCTGTGTCCCCAGGAGGACCTTCATCTGAGCAATCCCAGAGAGCTGTGTGCTTTGGAGGAAGTTCATCGGAACACAGAAACAAATCTGCTTCATGGCCCAGTGTGTCTCTGATTCTCTGTAAAACCAAACCAATGGAAAGTTACGTTTCACGCGCACAGAGAACGTTAATCTCACATTTGGTTGGCTGCTATTTGTCCACCCATGGCTTGTTCCAGCTGACGCGCTTTGCTGCTGACGTCACCGGGTCGGGCTAACGTAGCGTTAACGCAGCGGTTCTTAAACAAGAAATAAACATTCTTGGAGAGTGACGGGGCAAGAAAACTTAAATTATAACTTTTAAGTATCTACATGCTTTCTTTAGTAATTTTACAATTTTAGCCGACCTTTCTTGATTATCGCCGCGGCACCCCTGTTATACGCTCATGGCACCCCTGTTATACGCTCATGGCACCCCTGTTATACGCTCATGGCACCCCTGGGTGCCTCAGCACCCAGTTCATGAACCGCTGTGTTAACGCATCGTTAGCCCGACCGGTTGACGTCGGCAGCAGAGCCCGTCAGCTGGAGCTGGTCGAGGTCCACCTTTCTAGATGATACTAATCGACTGTGCTTTATCTCGGCGTCGTCGTCTTTGTCTTTGGCGTTGTGAAACAAGCTTCATAATGCCGGGTTCGATCCCAGCTGCAAGCGTTTTGGCAGCTGTCGACTCAACAGTGGTACTGAGAGCTGACCGTTCAGTCAATGGCAAACTACTGAACGCAACATTTGCCTGAAATAAAAACAACAGTCACCGCCCCCCCCCCCCCAAAAAACAAAATGCTGGGGGCTGTTTGTGCAAAGTCCTGTAGAGAATTTTTTTTTAAGTATCCAGAAACCATGAGTTGTTAACCCTTAGGCTCGGTATTATGGATATCGCAACCCTTCGGCCTTGATTCCATGATAAATACCGTAAATCTGGGAGAAATGTGGCTTTTCTACCTACCCCCGGGGGTGAACCCGGACCACAAGGAATTCATCACCCGGTTACCGCCCAGTCCGGTTTAGCCAACTACGCTAGAGAGCAGGGCCCTGTAGAGGATAGACGAATAACTCTAATGAGACATGTGAATCATTTTCCATGGTAAAGGCCATTGTGACTTTCTACCTGTTCGTGTTAAGAACATTCTTCTACAATAAGTACATGCCCTTTCAGGACCATTAATGCTATAACATGTATCTGAAATGTATCTTCGCATACACCCAGCTTAACCTGTGTGCAGTGTTTTTCTCCAATGTATATGTTCCTTTTTATTCCCCCCCCCCTTTCCACGTAATGCAGTCCATGGCTTCCTGTTCCCAAGAATCAACCTCGCTACCTGTACCATTCATATCCAGCTTGCATGAATCTTTAAATCGTAGTACAGGGCAACCTCGATATCTTCTACCCATAGTCACACGCACATAAAAGAAATATTAAAATGTAGATATATTTCAGGGAACTTCCTACTTTCAGCTCATATTGTTAAAATTGAAAATATTCTTTTTAAAGTTTTAAAATAATAATAATTAAAATAAGCAAAATATGGTACCAGCAAAGTCATTGTCTAATAAAATGAATACCAATTCTTCTTCTTCAGCATTCCGAGCCCTTGAGGTTCAATGCTGCAGATATCACCCGGCTCTATTTATCTCTCTGGTTGGCCTTCTCTTTCCAGTTGGTGACACCAAGTGTTTGCTTTTTTGTCTGGATGTTATCTTTTTATCGTCTTCTTAGTCTGCCTCGGGGTCTACAACCATTGATCTCCCTGGTGTATACAGTTTTTACTTCTCTATCATCTTACGTTCTTTTAATATGGTCCAACCATTTCAGTCAATTAGCTCTCATGATGCCAGTGATCAGTAGTGATTTAAATAGTTTATGAACTTCGTTGTTGCTTTAGAAAATCTTCATCTAACAAAATGAACTTGACAGCCTGAAAATCTTCATCTAACAAAATGAACTTGACAGCCTGAAAATCTTCATCTAACAAAATGAACTTGACAGCCTGAAAATCTTCATCTAACAAAATGAACTTTACAGCCTGAAAATCTTCATCTAACAAAATGAACTTGACAGCCTGAAAATCTTCATCTAACAAAATGAACTTGACAGCCTGAAAATCTTCATCTAACAAAATGAACTTGACAGCCTGAAAATTTTCATCTAACAAAATGAACTTGACAGCCTGAAAATCTTCATCTAACAAAATGAAATTGACAGCCTGAAAATCTTCATCTAACAAAATGAACTTGACAGCCTGAAAATCTTCATCTAACAAAATGAACTTGACAGCCTGAAAATCTTCATCTGACTAGATGAACAATGCAGCTATAAAATCTTAGACCAGTGAATTGAATACTGTAATTATAAAACCTACACGTGATAAAATTATCACCATAGTAAAAAATCCTCCTTGAAAAAGAAAACTGCAGCCAGAAAGTCTTCACTGATAGAATAAACGATCCAGTTTGAAATTCTTCACCAGTTAATTTGAATATTGAAGCTAGACAGTCTTCATATGAAAAAATGAACACTACAACTAAGAAGCCTTCATCTGACAAAATAAACGTGGCCACCAGAAAATCTTCATCTAATATTCTATTAAAAAAAAAAAAAAAACTGTAGCTAGAAAGTTTTGATTTGATAAAAAGAATATTGTAGCTGGTAAACTGTTGTCTGACAAATCAGGGGGCACCTGAAACTGTGGGCTCAGGCACCATGGACCCCCCCCCCCCTTCCCCGGCCCCCAAAATGTTTGGATTGGCTGTGGTCACCCTCCCCCCCCCCCCCTCTTTCCCCAATTCCTTCCCTGAAACAATTCCAATGGGGTTACATGTATAGACATGCTCTTTACAAGCATTTGTTTTATACATTTAATATCATTTCAAATATATTATTATTTGCCATTTATATTATAAAGGAGTTAGGAGGCAACTGTGATGTGATTATTGAGAAGAATGTTGCGAATACCTTGGACTGCCAGAATAACTAACAATGATTGCCTGGAAATGGCTAATGAAAGTAGAACACTACATATAACAATGAGACGGAGACAGTCCTTTGGTCATGTGACTAGAAAAGGAGCACTGACAAATATCGTGACGATTGAAATGATCACTGGTAAAAGAGACATAGGCAGACCAAAGAAATGATAGCGGATGGCTTAAGACAGTGGTATGGAGAAATATCATCGGTGGAATTAATTCAGAACACCAAATACAGAGATTGGCGGAGATGCACGAACGCCTTCGCCAGCTGACAAGGCACTTGATGATGCCTTGATGTTATTGATTAGAAAGCTGCCGATTTACCCCCGCCCCTCCCCCCATTTCCCAATGATTTCATTTTTTGCAGTACTCCTGCCCTCTATATACTGACCTTCCTGAGTTGTAAGTCAGTCCAAAGTGCAGCTTTCACACTCTCTCTTGACATATTCGGCAGAGCTATCAACTTGTGACATTTGAACTTAACGGGGAGGTCAGAGGTCACATGCCTGATCATGGCCTCCTCTCGTTTTAGCTGTTTCAATGCCTTCTCTAAAATTTTCTTCGTGCAGGCAATTTTTTGATCCTCTGTCGCATGCCACACCTCAAAGTTGTCCCCGATGGCCTTAATACAAACAATAATCGCTCCATAGGTCTGAAAGATGACAGAAAACCAATCATACATTTAAAATCCAAATGAAAAGCACTGCTGCTGCTGCTGCTGCTGCTGCTGCTGCTGCTGCTGCTGCTGCTTCTTCTTCTTCTTCTTCTTCTTCTTCTTCTTCTTCTTCTTCTTCTTCTTCTTCTTCTTCTTCTTCTTCTTCTTCTTCTTCTTTTTCTTCTTCTTCTTCTTCTTCTTCCTTTGTCTTTTATAATTCCATGGAGCACAGACCCTTAATCCTTACACAACCAAAACGACACTTCCGGTTGTGTCAAATTCCCCATACATGTCTCTTTTCCTACTTGTCTAAGTAGCCCGTTTACGACGCGTAGTTTATGCTGATGACTGGGTTCGGGCCTGCGCAAACGTTCAGGAGTTTAGGATATTGTTATACTAAACAAAAACAACTCTGGGGATGGGGTCCCGTTAGCTTTTTTGAATACATAGATTCTCTTGTACAAATCCACTTTTCCCATAAGCCTCAGTGATTGAGGTCAGGGGTCATGTCTTGGGTCATCCGATACATGTGTTTCTTATTCACCGGGAAATGTATTTAGTTTAATGCTTCTTCCTGTTTGTGTTTACTGATTAGTCCTTTCATATATGTATGAATGTATGTATGCGCGCACGCACGCACGCACATACACACACACACCCACACACATATACATACATAAGCATATTTTAAAACAAGGTTATAAAATGTAGATAAACATATTTTGAACGGATTGATTAGTGACCAGTGAAAATACTGTCAACCCCAACCAGGTAATGTCCACGGAAATAAAAGTAGCCAGCGTGATATTGGCCAGATCCCCACTGGGAGCTGACTGGTCTATCAAGTAGATGTCTAGCATCATATGCCTAATGCAGGACTGATATAAAATAGGATCCTTTACTTACCTTTTCTATTATGGATGATTTATTATTATGGATAATTTACTTTTATGGATGATTTACTGTTGTGGATGATTTACTAGTATGGGCGATTTACTGTTATGGACGATTTACTGTTGTGAGTGATTTACTTTTATGGATGATTTACTAGTATGAATGACTTGATATTATGGATGATTTACTACTATAAATGATTTACTATTATGGGTGATTTACTATTATGGGTGATTTACTATTATGGATGATTTACTGTTATGGATGATTTACTATTATGGGTGATTTACTATTATGGGTGATTTACTGTTTTGGACGATTTACTATTGTGGACGATTTACTAGTATGTGGGACTTATTGTTATGGACCATTTTCTGTTGTGGGTGATTTACTGTTGTGGATGATTTACTATTATGGGTGATTTACTATTATAGGTGATTTACTATTATGGATGATTTACTGTTATGGATGATTTACTATTATGGGTGATTTACTATTATGGGTGATTTACTGTTATGGACGATTTACTATTGTGGACGATTTACTAGTATGTGGGACTTATTGTTATGGACCATTTTCTGTTGTGGGTGATTTACTGTTGTGGATGATTTACTAGTATGGGTGATTTACTATTATGCATGATTTACTATTATGGGTGATTTACTTTTATGGACGATTTTCTATTATGGGCGACTTAATAGTATGGATAATTTATTATTATGGATGATTTACTGTTATGGATGCTTTACTGTTATGGGTGACTTACTGTTATGGATGATTTACTGTTGTGGGTGATTTACTGTTATGGACGATTTACTGTTGGAGGTTAATTCTGTTGTGATTGATTTACTAGTATGGATGATTTACTATTATGGATGATTTACTATTATGGGTGATTTACAGTTAAGGAAGATTTACTATTGTGGATGATTCACTGTTGTAGATGATTTACTAGTATGGGTGATTTACTATTATGCATTATTTACTGTTATGGGTGATTTACTTTTATGGACGATTTTCTATTATGGGCGACTTAATATTATGGATAATTTATTATTATGGATGATTTACTGTTATGATTGATTTACTGTTACGGTTGATTTACTGTTGTAGATGATTTACTATTGTGAATGATTTACTAGTATGTGTGATTTACCGTTATGGATGATTTACTATTATGTATGATTTACTGTTATGTATGATTTACTGTTATGTATAATTTATTGTTATGGATGATTTATTATTGTGAATGATTCACAGTTATTGATGATTTACTATTATGTATGATTTACTGTTATGTATGATTTACTGTTATGGATGATTTATTATTGTGAATGATTCACAGTTATGGATGATTTACTATTATGTATGATTTATTGTTATGTATGATTTATTGTTATGGATGATTTATTATTGTGAATGATTCACAGTTATTGATGATTTACTATTATGAATGATTGACTATTATGAATGACAGACCGCTACTGGCACGATCGGAACTGGATCTCTTTGCAGTCTGCTGAAGATGAGAACGGGGCGCTCATGGGAATATCCTGAGTACTGTTATGTCAGTTCTTAGCTCAAAGCTGAACTACTATGGATGCTAACACTGTCATAATATGAACATTCTAGCACCACTAGTTTAAACAAAAGACGGAAACAAACCTTGTGAAAGATAAGGCAGTCGTGCTCTGCTCTCATGGTCTGACCAAACGCCCTGACGGGCCTGCTGATATCTTCCTTGGAGAACATCTCTTCCCGGAGCTTGTTGAGGTAGTTGTTGTACTGATACCCACAAATAATGAACATCGGGTCCTCCTCTTGTCCTCCAAGGTTCGATCGACGGCCCAGCATCTCCAGTGCACTGATGACACGATTCTCTCCTGGAAAACAGCATGATGAATGCAATTATACAAGCTGATCAGCACTCATAGAAGTAAGTAGAAGGACATACTTCTTTCTAGCCCTCAATGGAGCATAGGTCCTCAACCAACTCACGCCAAGTCGTTCTATCCTTCGCTATCGCATACAGCTCTCCCCATGTCCTCCCTATATATTTAACTCCCATGTTCTCCCTATCTATTTAACTCCCATGTCCTCCCTATCTATTTAACTTTACTCTCTAGCTCCCATCTCTGCGTGTTTTTTTTTTTTTTTTTTTTTTTTTTTTGTCTTCCTTTTATTTTGCATGCCTCTGTGGGTTCCAGTGAAAAGACACTTTAGTTATATTGTTCTCAGGTTCCTCAACGTGTGTCCTATCCAAGGCCAGCCTGTTTTCTTCACCTCTTGGTCCACTGGAACTTGCTTAGTTCTCTCCTAAAGCTCTACATTTGTGATTATATCACACATTTTATTCCCTTTATGAAGACATACTAGACAACATTACAATTGAAAGCTATAGTTACTATGCAGGGAGTTGAACCTGTCACACTTCCAATTGACAGTGCCTTGCTTCAAAACAAAGGAATCAAATTCAAACTGACATTGATGAAACTTGGGGCACTGCTGGTGTCCATCAAATATATCTTTTTGAGGGCTGCATGTAAAACTCTCTTAGTTGTTTCCAGTCACTATTTACTTTACATGAAGTTTGAGGTTTGAACACCGGATAAACACCATGGCACCTATAAGTGCTCTGTTCTTCTTCTAACTCAAGTCTGAGTCCGAAGAAGCTCAGCACAGCGCACAGACCCTGTATCACCAGCGAGGATCTTGAAATACTTCAGGTAGATTTTTACGTCAACATTTTGCCCGGGCAGTGAGGTAAGGCTACTTTTTTTTTTCGATTTCCAACTCTCAAGGTATTTTTGTGTGCTCAACAATGCACACGGGCGTCTAGTCTTACTATCCAGAGACCAGGGGAAAATTACTAGAAGTCCAAGTCCACATAAAATAAACCCAGCCCTTACCGAGGATTGAACCCAGAACCTCTAGCACTCGGGGCGGACACCATGCCTCGAGACCACGTAGCCCCCTTTTCAAATGCACATATCCTAAGCTAATGTTATAGTAGACTAGCAGGGCATGGCAGGGCAGACCAGAACCTTAGCTCTGCTTAGCGGCTGCTCTAGGAGGGAGGCTCTTAGAGCCATACAGATAGAGCACTGCACGACTGACCCGGTCGTTTCTGCAGGCGTTGGTGTTACTTTTTCTTTTGAGTTAACAAAGCAGGCAGAGAGAAGGATCATGCTGCATGGGCAACACATGGTCTCTGCTATACCAGCTTGTGCTTTGGAAGGTCACCATGGATTAGGAGTCCCAGCCTTTCCTATAGCCAATGAAATACCACTGACGTCTTATTATTTTCTCTACTCCTGGAATACCTCGTGAAAGTGAAAAATACAGACAGAACTGACAGTAAGTCGGACTGCAAACTGTTCCTTCCCATGACGCCTGAAAGTTCACAATGATGACTACGATGAGTAAGCTATCAAATCTATTGTTAAACTTACCATCATCTTTTCTAATATCCTTATCCATGCTAAAACTGCCAACAGCCAATCACTGTCTTTTGCAGTGTAGGCGGGGGGTGGGTTGTGGAAAAGAGGGGAAAGGGGTGGGGGGGGGGGGGTCTTTGAGCCTAAAGATTTACGGCCGCTAGTGCTAAAGCCATGAATATGCAGGAAACGATTTTTTTTTTAAATTCCTGACCAAAAAAAAAAAAAAAAAAAAACCAGCCTTACCGAGGATTCGTACCCGGGTCTACCGCTTGAGAGCCTGGCGTTCTAACCGTTCGGCCAGCCTTATCCAAGACTTTCAAAAATATTTCTTCATCCTATACGGCCTGCAGAACGGCACTTGCTGATGTTCGACCAGCTCACAGAGATGAATGGACTGCAAACTATTCCTCTCCACGATGTTTGATGATGATGATGATGATGATGATGATGATGATGATGATGATGATGATGATGATGATGATGATGATGATGATGATGAGTAAGTAATCACATTGATTGTTGAACGTACCTTCATCTTTTCTGATATCCTTATCCATGACTTTCGATAGTATATCCACGTCTTGTACGGCCTGAAGAAGGGCACTTGGCGGTGTTCGAGCAACAAAGAAACATGAATCTGGAAGCTCCCGTCTCATAGAAGAAGCTAAAGCAACAGTCTGATGTGATGTATCACTGGCTGGAACAGCAGCATGTAATAAAGAACTGCTTGAATTTGGGCTGTCTTTGAAGTAGATACCCGAAGATGAGATAAATTTATCGGGGCTGCTTCTTACAGACAGTGAATCCTGGCCAACGGAGCCTTCGAGTGATCTTTCACCTTCTGTATAATCACCTGATTTTTGAAGATTATTCGAGAAACTGTAGTGACTTTGAACAACAGCAGATCTAGGTAAGTCACCTTGACCCTCGGAATGACTGTTTTTACCAAAAGAAATTGAAGAGTGAGGAATAGACTTAAACTGAATTGTATCCCCCTGGAAATTACTGTTTGTATCATTTCCAATGCATGCTATTTCAGACTGATGTGCTGATAAATGGCTTTCGAAATTGTTGCTTTCCTTGTTCACTGGTCCTCCATTGATGCTTTTAAGCACTGAATCTCCTTTGAAAGCACTGATGTATTCATTTGGCTTCTTCAAGGACTGAATATTGAAATGTATTGGAGGCACTCGATATGTCCGTTCTCCTACGTTTGGGTAGTAGGCTGTGACGTATTGATCCATGAACTCATCAAAGGACTTAGTTACACCATCTACTGTTAGCTTCATCTGACCAACATCCTGTGGAGGGAGGGGGGGGGGGGGTAAAACGGTGTAAAACAATTAGACATTTCTACAGTGGTTGGGAAAACAAACGGATACACGTCTCAGAATCAAATTGTCTTTTCTGATGTGCTTTTATTTCCAACTTCCCCCCCCCCCCCCCCCCCCCCCCCTTCAGCATTCTAAGCCCTTGAAGTTCACTACTAAACATAACAACTCTGCCTTTTTTCTATCTTCTGCAAAAAAGTACATATCGTGTGGCGTTGGTAGTCATGTTATCCACAGCCTTCTGTCTCGTGTACTTTCAATCAACTCTGACACATATCTTCTTCTTCTTCTTCGCGTTCACCTGCTGTACACTCTGGCGGAAAGTTCTGGTTGCTTGTCAACTACTGAACTGCAGTCCTGCTCCAGAACCTGAGTGTTGGCGTGTGCATCAGTTTTACAGATCTCATTCTCTTGAATACAGACTGTTGGTTCCTTACCTCTCCGGCAGATGTACTCCGACTTCAAAGGAAGCTCCCTAATTAGTCGATTCTTACGACATGCTTTTAGGGAGGCAGTGGGTCTATTCTTGTTTTCCCCACAATGGGGCCCCGGAACCCACACGGGGGTCTGACACATATGATCTTTCATGCCATGATGTCAAGCTGTCCGGCATCTTTTCTTTCGGTCTCCATCTTCCTCTCCTCCCCTTCAAGTCAAGTTTCCTAATGTCACGATATACTCCAGTTTTCTGCTTCGCATCACACGACCAAATGATGTATCTTTTTTTTCTATTTGCCCATTTAAATCCGCCTTAATTCAAGGCCTACATATCCGTCTCATGACAAAATATAGTTTTACAAAGGTAGAAATGTTGGCCATACACTTTAATCTCCAACCTGGAGGACCAGGGAGTCTCTCACTGTCCCTCCTCTGCCTTTTGACCTGTCCAGCTAGTGGCTCTACATGGCTCTAAGGGTAATTGAGAAACACACGTTTCTCTGCCTTAGCAAGTTGCAGTCACCTCTGAGGGTTCTAAAGTATTTGAAAACATGGAATTATGCCTTGCATGTCTGGGTGCAGAAAATTCTTCCAAACTCTTTTACTCTAAGCCTGTTGTTAATTATATTTATTCTATCCCAAAGTCACATTTTTCTTCTTCTTTTCTCATGGTTGACTTTTAAAAATACAGTTGGTACGTTGTATTGTGGTTTATAGATTTGATTTAAATGCCCTTCGGCTAAACACGTTAGGGCAGCAATGGATATGGAACAGAAAATGCTGTTCACAATGTTGCAGCATGTGATCCTGTCGGTGATAGATTATGAATTTGGAATGCTTACCATATCAAAGAGTCAGCTGATAAAACTTGAACGTATACAGAATGAAACTATGAGACACCTTGGTGGTGTGTGTGTGCGATTTATACTGCCTGCTACGCAAACAGGCTCAAAGTTTTGCAAGCAAAGTCATATCTCAAAGGAGCTGCAGACAGGAAGCACCTCCTGCATGAAGACCTAGGCAGAGCTAAGGGCACCAGACTAAAAGGTGGAATGTCTTCGATGGCGCTAACTGAAGACAAAATAAGACATGTGTGCAGGCTTGATAAATTTGAGCGAGAGGGTAGTTGGTGAAAGTGTCCGAGCAAGAATTAGACTTGTGCCGGGTTCTAATCACTTTAAGTCGTAAGTGCAGGGACTGGCCAGCAGGTGCTGCAGCATCAGAAATTCAAGAAATGATTCATGACAATTCCCACCCAAGTGATGTGATTATCTATCTATACATATGGTCCTGTGCTAAGAGGCAGGCGAAGTGCATGGGGGGTTTATTCACAAGCGAATGGACGTCGCTTAGTTCAGCAAAGCCTGGCATATGATATCACAACGTCTAGTTTGAAAATAGAGGCAGAGGCAGTCACTGCTGCTTTCTGCTGATTTGAAAATCAGCTGTGTGCACATGTTGTAATTATAACTGACTCATAAAGCATGTTGAGAAAGGTGAAAACCGGCATGCAGAGAGGCAAGCATCGCTTCAGAAACCCCAAGTATGTCCTTTGGATGTTTTCTCTAGGTTATGCTGGTGTGTTGATAAACGAGCCGGCAGACATACTTGCCGACTGTGTACCACTTGGTGGAGAATTGATGTATGACAAGTTAGATGTTGTGAGGGCTTTTCGGGAGCGAGTGAACAGTGTGGAGGCACAAACATTTCGTTGCGGTCTGAGGAGATTGGCTCTTCGGGGAATTACCAGGGGATCTAGCCGACGCTCAACACTCAAGTGTAAGGCGAGACAGATTACATTCAGACAGTTGCTGGTGGTTTCGAAACTGGAACTCTTGGCTTGTTGCTGAAGATGGGGACAGAGCGCTTTTGTGAATGTCCCGATAAGTATAATGTCGATTCTTAATTTTAAATTCAACATTCAGCCAAATACATCAGTTTTCACCAAATCGTTAATTAGTTGCTTAGATGACTTGCTGGTTAAGGAGAAGTACAACCCCCCCCCCCCCCCCCCCCCCCCCCACATAATAATAAGGCTCTGGAACCCAGACAGTGACTCGTGGACAGTCTGACAATCTGACAATCTAATAATCTAACAATCAAGATGAGTTTAAACACACACACACACACACACACACACACACACACACACGCGAGCGCGCGCGCACACACGCACACACACATACACGAAGGCATGGAAGCCACGGAAGTTGATTGCAGATATCGCTTTTCATATGGCTTTAGTAATTGACAATGTTCTACTTTGTTGAAAACAAGAAGGAAAGACATCAGCTTATTTATAGATTTGCCCCCTTCCCCTTTTCCACTTTCTAAGGCTCCTGTCGCCATGTACGCACATATTTTACCCCCCCCCCCCCCATGCTTTTGTTTTTGACTTGATATTCATAATATGCATATCATTACATGAACATAACATGCTTTAATGATAAAATACAACTGCTGTGTGAAAGATGGGAGTTAAGAAGGGTCGAATGTCAGACAGGCCTGCGTGCCTAATTTGTGACCCTTTCAAAATAAAGTTGGTTCGTTCGTGTTGGTTCCAGGGACCTATTTTTGTGGTATAGGTGGTGGTGGTAGTGTTGGTGGTGGTGGTGGGGGTGGGTGGGTGTGGGGGGGGGGGAGTAGGGGAGTAGACCCACTGCTCCATAATAAGCGTGTTATAAAAGGCAATTTAAGAGCAAAAGTTTGACGAACATATAATCAAACTGTCCCTGGCACCAAGGGTTGGTTTAAACTGGATATTTTAGACTGAATGACATAGAAATCACAGCCTAGCTGTCAACCACAACACAGTGTGCTAACCTCCCTTTTAAGTGCCAGTGTTAAAGAAGGTAAAATTTAAAAAAAAATGACAATAAAAAAATGATGTACATACTTCTGGCTGGCCTTCCTTGATGTCTGTATACTGTATGCATTCAGGAATCGGTATGATTACTTTCTCATCATGGACAAAGTCTACCTTGGATAGCCTATAATCATAAATATTTTACATTATAAAGTGGAGAAAGTTATTTAATTCTTCCATTACTGATGAAGTTCACCACATGTTTCTAAATCATTCCACAATAACATTATGTTCCGGTTACTTTATACACAGAGGAAAGACAGGAAGAGGGTATAGTCAAACTACTGCAGACACCGTCGGAATTGGAACTTTTCGATGGCTGGTGAAGATAAGGACAGCGTGCTTATGGGAATTTCTCGAGTGCTATGAGTTCTTCGTTCAGCGCTTACAAAAACACACTTATATCTTCTATCACAGACAAATGTTACATAAACTGTTTGTATTTGAATTTTTAATTATTTAATTAAACTGCACATCAAACAGTTTAGTTTATAAGTGCTCAAAATCCCTTAGTTAATCCTGCAGTATGCTAGCTAGTTAGTTAATCGGCAGATTATCCACACTGCACATGAGAAAGGTCCATCAGCGCTCGGATCCCATCTTCAGTATATCCCTCAGCGTGTGGCGACTGATAACACCCGTTCTGTGTTGATTTACTATTCTTCTTTTGTTACATGTATAGTGTTCATGTTTGGCGAGACCTCTTTTGACCTGAAGTTCTTGTAGTCTTCTGAGTGTTGCCGACTCATCATCCTGCCAGCTTGGAAGCACTGAGAATGACAGCCAGGTCCATTGTTCTTCCAGTAGCTACCATGGCCCTGTTCGTAATGCGGGGATGCCGGGTTCGATCCCAGCTGCGTGCCATGTGCCTTGCGTTGGTTTTGACAGTGGTATCAAGAAAGCCGACCGTCCATTAGCAATGGCAAACTGCTGGACGAAAAGTTGTCTAGATAAACCACACAATAGACAGGGGCTGTTGGGGTTGGTTCTGCAACGTCCTGTAAAGGATACGCAACTAACCTAAACCATGGCCATGACAGCAAGGCAATCCGCTCGTTCATTACCTGATGTAGCGACACTTGTGTTTGTTAATTCTTCTTCTTTTGCCTCCTGTACAGTGCTCGTGTCTGGCATCTCTCCAATTCACTTGTTGTTTTTACAGGTCATAGTTGCAGATTCAGTCATCGCTCAGTTCTTATACACGTCTTACTTCCTGTAGTGCATTCAGTATAGCAACGGAATCATTAAAGATAGAAGATTATTATGGTATAGAGAGAATGAGGCATCTGGCTGTAACCAGAGCTCAATACACTCAGAGGAAATGCAAGACGGACATATAACCAGATTGTGACCAGTATCATATATTGAAACTCTGTGCTGTCTGCTGAAGATGGGGACGGAGCATGCATGGGATTGCCCAAAGTGGTGTCATGTCGATTCTTGACTCAACTCAACTCAGTATATCATCCTAGGACATGGCTCGTCCGCCCTCCAAGGTAGCCTCACCTGCAAGCCTATCAACATGTTCATTTCCCTTTACACCTCTGTTCACTGACACGAAAATGACAGTGATTTGTGTCAGCCGTGACTACTTCATCAGCAACGTTCTACCACACCAGGACCGCACTAAGAGCGATCAATACCCGGTAACACAAAGTTTCCCACTGGGATGAGAATGTCCTAGAAACCCTGTTCAATCGTTAGGTTATATTAAGGCCCCTGATGACAGCCGGGGTGGGGTTTTAAAATAATAATAAAAAAAAAAAAATTTAAATTGTGCATCCCATATTGGGGTGAAGTGAAACTTTGACTGCCTCACAGACCCCAAACATTTGAAATGATTTTCATGCACAAAATTATCAAAAACTATAAGTGACACTCTTTACTGACGAAAACCACAAAAAAAACAGCCAAAAGGTGACACTTGGGACTTTCACGATTACAAAAACGTGTTTGTATTTTTGAATTCTTTATTCTTAATTCAGTTTCAACAAATACAAAACAGATTAGCCGAAGTCCTTGTCTACACTGTGTAGTATTTATCTAGGGAGTGTATTCATAGAGGAAGACAGGACCGTTCGGAAATTAGAAACCAGTTGCTAAGGAGCCAGTGCACTTACATACCAACTGATGTTTTCATTAAGGCAACCAATCAAGAGAAGGACCGCCAAGAAACAGAACATGCACCGCATATTCATACCAACAATGAGTTTCCGGTGCTAAACATGGACATTATCAAAGGATAGATTACGTAAAATTAACATATGTGAGTTGATATGCTTAGAAAAACCGCCAACTTAACCATCCCAGACTGAGTGAGAAATGACTCCTTCAGACTGTAAAAACATTACTTTGAAATAAATTCAAAGATAATCAGAAGATCAAATGGTTCTGTCATCTCTGCCATCTCGTTAGAATGCAGCAATGCTATTATGAGAGCTGACGTGGAAAAAAAGAAAGTGCAACATAATGATCGAAAATTACAAATGAGACGTGTTTCCTATGGAAAGCACTCGACATTTCACGAGAAGAGAAGAAATGATGATACCCAACAACAGTGAAGATAATGATAGGGATTTTTCCTTACTTTGGTGATAAGAGAGCTCCAACGACGAGATGTAAATCCTCTTGTGACAAAGTGCTATCATGAGAGAGGATATTCTGCAGCATCCACTTGTGGAACTGTTGCTTGCGAGCAGGGTCTGACAACTCCTCCTCAAACGGTGCTGACAGTTCATCAGCGTGAAGCGTGCAAAATGAACCAACGTTGTGCTGGAGTTGCTAAATCAGACATAAAAACAGTCTTAGTTGTCTCATTTTTTGTTGGTTTATTTGTTCAACGGATCAACATCATGACACAAGGGTAGTAACCCATAAGTGCTCAGCTCTAATTCTAACTTAATCCTGAGTCCGAGGTATCTCAGCGCAGTGCACGAACTCCGTTGCACTGGCAAGAATCCTGAAATACTCTGGGTAGATTTTTAAATCCAAATTGTGCCTGGGCAGCGCCGTTTGGCTACACTTTTCGATTTTCAACTGTCAAGGTATTTTTAACAATACACACGGGGGTGCGATCTTACTACCCAGAGACCAGAGAAAATTTATAGGTCCACGTGAAAAATCTCAGCCTTCACCAGGGCTTTAACCCGAGACCTACAGCACCCGAAGCGGACGCCATGCCCGCAGACCACTTAGCCCCCTTAGTTTTCTCATAATTCTTGTTTATTTTGATCATGTCGCCGTTTTTTTTTTTCTGCTTCATCTGTCAATTGTTTTAAAACAAATTTTTGAATCTAGCGTGTGAACTATGCCGGTTTACAGCAGACCTTGTTGTGAGGTCCCACTTGAAGGGGGTTTCTCTTATTTGTACCTGTTAGATTTATATCGTTGAAATGCAATCATAGATGATGACTTTAAGCATATGTTTGAATTCAAATCGACATATGTGTGAAAACAAAATGCTGTAGAGAGAATTTTCTAAGGTCCTGCTCCCTCCCCCACTCCACCAACCCACTTTCTTTTCTTTAGATTTATAAAACGGATGTGCACGCAAAACTTCTGAAACAATGGTAAAATCCAGAAGTGGATGAACAACCAGAACTCTACTTCGGAGTTTACAGCTGGTGAACGCAAAGAAGAAGAAGAAAAAGAAGAAGATACCCGGCACAACCTCCACAGAAGTTATAATTAGGGCCCCTCGTAAGGGCCACACCAGCCAGGTGTAACCTGGGTACTTTAATTTTAGAAGACTCCATGTCGTCGTCTTTGATATTTGGTAGGGAAATCGCCAGAACATCCCATTGTAAAGGGGTGTTAGGGTTATGTTTAGTAGTAATCGCTATTTGTTAATAATATCCCTAACCTAACCCCCCCCCCCTCCCCCAATAATATAGCTCAGTCCTGGAAAATCCCCTAGAAATTCCCGACGACATTTTAAAGCCGACAAGACGGGGTCGTATAAAATTAAAGTACTGTCACCTGGAGTCGTATGTGGATAAGAACAAAAAGTTAAAACTAACTTTTAGTCTCCACACGGACCTCCCATATACACACTAGCTCACTTCTTATTGGTAGGTCATGAGCCCCAAGGCCTTCCCACAAGGTTACGGGGGTAATCCGCAATACCGTTGATATCGCTTATCGTATATTTCAGCACGCCAGCGCATATAACGCTCCAGAAATATGGACCAGCTGGTCCTAACTCAACTCCCCTTGAGAGTGCTGCAACCTATGTCACAGGCATTCTCTTTCTCGGAATGAAAACATAAATGCAAGACACCACAGAAAGCAAATAACAGAGTTGGACACACTCGTAACCTTCAGGAAGGTTGACCAGTCCAACACACTTGTGAATGAAAAGTCTGGGGAGATTATCGTGAACCTAACCGGACAAAATGATGACATCAGACTAAGGTTCAGACACAAGAGTACTAACCTTGTCCTTGCAAATTCTCTCCAACACAGACCTCTTCAGGTTGGGGAAGGCTATGACTTGTCTGACCTCTGACCTGACCCCCAGCAGGGTCAACCACTTGGAAACTGTAGCACTGATTTCTTTCATCTGAGTGACAGATTTCAGCACACGATGTCGGAGATGGTCAAACTGTGAGTTGCTGCTGATGATGCTCACTGACAGCACTGTCACACCAAATGTGCTGGACAGTAGCAGCATCACAGTGTTCTTGCCGTGTTGTCCGTTAAGTGTCATTAAAGCTCTGGGGAAGAAAGTACGGTGCTTTATTAATGGGTGCCTCGAACAGCTCTTGATGTTATCCCTCCATGCCATCGTTTCAGCACTTCTAGCACCATCTCTCTTGGTCTGCCTCTAACCCTTTTCCCACTGATCTTTCCAGTTGCCACGATGTTCTCCAACGTCTTTCTTCTCTTTATGTAGCACCGAAAAGGCGTCAAACTGTATGGTACCTATGAAAGCTTTCCATCCATGATTAGTGTTAACTAGAAGATTCCTCGGTTCTTTATCAATATCCTACCCCCAGATGACGTCACAGGACAGTCAACAAGTTTAGAGTGTGGTAAGACTAGGTTTCCCGGCTTTCTGATGCTTTTAACGACCCCAAAAACATATAGAACTGGCTCTAACCCCAACCAACCTACGTACCACGAGAGAGTGCATCCTAGGTCGCACGATTGCATGCAGCCTAGATTTCCACGAGTGCATGCAGCCTAGGTTTCCACGACTGGATGCAGCCTAGGTCGCACGACTGCATGCAGCCTATCTACCACCCCCTGAAATATTATACTGTCCTTGACCTGTGGATTTCCCCTGTTTGGGGGTAGGATATTAATAAAGCACAGAGAGTACAAGACTCGCATTACTCATTCAATGATTACTGATTGAAGAAGCAACATTATAGCACACCGGCCATACCCATAGATGTTCTGTCTCTCGCAGCAAATGTCCTAAAGTGAAGATGCTAACTGTTCCAGATACACACTGATGATTATACACACGTCACTCTCTTGCTTTCGTGTCCCCTCTTTGCCTGACCCAGACGAAATTTTTCGTTCACACATTCATCTAAATCATCATCAGCATCATCGAGTGCCTTGCCGGCTGGCTTGGGCGATCATGCTTTTCCACAATTTACGACCTTCATCTATATTGCTATGTACGTTATTTAATTTGACCTGGTTTATAAATGGTCTTCGGAATGTCTTCTTTGTCCAGTTGTCCAGTACGAGTGTTCACTTAGCTAGCGAGTTTGTAGACAGATTGTCCACTCTTTCATTCCCCCGAACTCCTGCATATCCTGGACAGTATTACCGCGCCAGTCACTGTAAAAGATGCTGCTGCTTGGCATCCACTGGTGCCATCTCCGTCCACTTTGAACCCTTCTGCAGTAGCAACAAAGAATAGGACACAATATCCTCTCGTAACTCGGTTTTTCTGCTGTTCACTTCAGAGCTGCACTGACTGACCCACTTCCATCCTTAGGCTTGAAAAAACCCTAGTTCATGACAATTGCATGAAGACTATTGAGACCGAAGAAATGTGAAGAAATGAAAATTAACTTAAACAACGTACCACCACAGCCGCCACTATTGCTACAGCTGCTGCTGTTGTTGTTGCTGCTGCTGCTGTTACTACTAATACTACTACTACTACTATTACTAATACTACTACTACTACCACTACTACTACTACTACTATTACTACTACTACCACTACTACTACTACTACTACTACTACTACTACTACTACTACTACTACTACTACTACTACTACTACTACTACTACTACTACTACTACTACTACCACTACTACTACTACTACTACTACTACTACTACTACTACTACTATTACTACTTCTTCTTCTTCTTTGCCTTCTTCTTCTTCTTCCTCTTCTTCTTCTTCTTCTTTTTCTTTTTCTTCTTCTTCTTCTTCTTCTTCTTCTTCTTCTTCTTCTTCTTCTTCTTCTTCTTCTTCTTTTTTTCTTCTTCTTCTTCTTCTTCTTCTTCTTCTTCTTCTTCTTCTTCTTCTTCTTCTTCTTCTTCTTCTTCTTCTTCTTCTTCTTCTTCTTCTTCTTCTTCTTCTTCTTCTTCTTCTTCTTCTTCTTCTTCTTCTTCTTCTTCTTCTTCTTCTTCTTCTTCTTCTTCTTCTTCTTCTTCTTCTTCTTCTTCTTCTTCTTTCTTCTTCTTCTTCTTCTTCTTCTTCTTCTTCTTCTTCTTCTTCTTCTTCTTCTTTCTTCTTCTTCTTCTTCTTCTTCTTCTTCTTCTTCTTCTTCTTCTTCTTCTTCTTCTTCTTCTTCTTCTTCTTCTTCTTCTTCTTCTTCTTCTTCTTCTTCTTCTTCTTCTTCTTCTTCTTCTTCTTCTTCTTCTTCTTCTTCTTCTCCTCCTCCTCCTCCTCCCTGCCCTCCTACTCCTTCTGCTCCTCTTGTTTCTCCTCACCCCCCTTTTCCCCTCATACTCCTCCTCCCCATATTTCTTCTCTTCTTCTTATTCCCAATGTTCCAATACTGACTACATCAGACCTTTTTATTCAACATATATATCGTTTAAAGATAAAGCCAAAGAAAACATCGACGATTATGACGATACGGCAACGACAATTTTAATAATGGTGACGTAATAAATAACGGTACTTAGGAGAAAGACACACTCAGGTAACATACTTGTCCAAATGTTCGGTCTTGAACACCTGCAGAAATCCTGAAAGCGGATAATGACACAGCATGAACACAGGTATGCTTTGCTCAACAAAAAATCGCTCAAATGTTCCAAACACTCGTTTTTCGCTTTCCATTCCCTGGATCAACTTTTTATTTGACTTGTCATGTTGCCGATACCTATAAAAATAACAAGAAAAGATATAAAACCGAACGAAAAGTATGTCAGCAAGCTTCGCAATATGACAAACACAAACAAAAAGTGAACGTTGCGGCTATAGAGCCTTCATCAGCATATACAGAAGTCAAACAATATCACACAAATACACAAAAATCACTTAGCTTAGTATATCGAAGCAGCCAGGTCGAAGTCTTGTCAGTAGACTGACGAAACACGTGGGCCAGGAGAATAAATACCCACGAGGAATTCCAGAGGCCGTAAATGGAGGGTTTTAAATAAAACTGTTCGGGCCTCTGGGTGTCAAAGTGCCCAAAGTGAAAAATAAAGAGATTTTAAAGAGACCTGTGGACTCTGTAGCTGGAGCGGCTAGATCTGATGACTGACACCTCCATGTCGTGGACATCTTGGTGACCCTGGGGATAGAAGTGCAATGGTACTGGTTTCAAGGCACCATTCTGCACATCCACAAGATGTCGTGCCACATCTCTTGCAGCTGATGGTGAAAATGACATTGCGGCTCGTGCAGTAGAATTCTTCATGTATATGGAAGGTGGCATTAGAGAATTCCAGACTTGTCCTCTGAACCAAATATGGACAGATCCTGCAAACAGGTCTGTGGCATGAAACTGTGCACAAGTGGGACTCTAAAGCCTGCTATAACGGACTCTTGATTAAAATGTCCTTGAGGTTACAGTCTCGTCTGTAGACCAGTAGAGGAAGTTCAGAGAAAATTGTGCTGGTGGCATGGGGAGCCCTAAGGATGGAGAGAAGCTTAAGGAGAATATTTTTAGCACGGATGTTGTGAGGGTGGTTGGTAAGTATGAGGATAGGTCTGTTGTTGTGCCGTTGGGCTTGGAAACGGGAGCCTTGGCACGAGGGATAGACCGTGCTCGGGGAAAGGTGGCAGATAAGACATGTTCCGGATATCATCGGAGCCGGAAGAAGTCCAACATTTCTATGGCCTTGTTGTAAACAAAAACAAAAAAAAAAACAAAAAAAAAAAAAAAAAAAAAAAAAAAAAAAAAAGAACGTGTTTCAGGCAAAAACTAAACAAGTCTTTTAACAAACAAGGAATGCTTTTATCTTAATAGTAATGCACATATAAGGTTAGTTGCGTATCCTTTACATGACATTGCAGTACCAACCCCAGCAGCCCCTGGCTGTTGTGTAATGCAAATATACAGAAACAAATAACAAAATTCATGTCCTGGACACGAAATAATATGTCCTAATAGACAAAGATATGATAACACAGAAACAATCAGGTGAGAGAGAAAAAAAAAGGGAATTAATAAAGAAAAGACATTTATTTTGTTTGACTAAAAGAAAAAAAAAAAATAGTGCGTGAATATGCCCAGGTCTAACATAATCACTAGAAGCATGACTTAGACATATATTCCAGGGAAAACCATCCGGTATTTATCTCTTTGTCTTCCATTTGCTCGTTTCCTCATTGTTTGCCGGTTGTCGCCACTTTTCAAGTTTATTCCTTTTCATAACATGTTCAAAAATTTGTTCATTTAAGCTGCCGTTCAAGGTTTTAAAACTCCACTTCTTGTTGCCTTTGCAATATTGGCATTCAAAAATACTGGCTTGCAGAGTGCTGAGATATCGTGTAGGGAAAAACATAACAGGCTGCTAAATGTTAAAATGTTCACAAGGGGTGGGAGGGGGATTGGGGGGGGGGGGGAGTAGTGGTGAGACATACAGTTCAGCTGAATAAATGGATCCCTTATAAAGAAGAACATAACAAGCTGCCAAAAAAAAAAAACAAAAAAAAAAAAAAAAACGAATCCACTTTAAGAAAAAATAGACCATGCGACTGAAAAAATAAGTCAGATTCAAGGACAAACATACCATTTCTCTAAAGAAATGAATCAGTTATAAGGAAAACATACTGTGTAGTTGGACAAATGAAGCAGTCAAAAACAAAAATACCATGCGGTTGAAGAAATAAATAAGTTTTGGCAACAAAAATAATTGTGGTAATATGAACACTGAAACCTTTCTATTGGCGGTAAACAGTATGGCTTCTCTCCCAGCAAAGGGCAGCAATTCTCGACAAACTTTTTCGCGGTCCTTCGAATGTCGTCAATCCTTGTGCCGGATAACTAGAGGGAAAGAAAAGTTGACGTTTATAAATCAAAATCGTCCGTAACGTTTATAAATTAAAATCGTCCGCAACGTTTATAAATAAGAATCGTCCGTAACATTTATATATAAGAATCGTCCGTAACGTTTATAAATCAAAATCATCAGTGTTAACTTGTTCAGTATCACATAGTTGTTTGTTCACTATTGTCTGTCTTATAGTCTATGCTCACTATTGCCTATCTTAGAGTCTACGTTCACTATTGTCTATTTTAGAGTCTATGTTCACTATTATCTGTCTTAGAGTCTATGTTCACTATTGTCTACCTTAGAGTCTATGTTCAGTATTGTCTATCTTAGAGTATATGTTCACTATTGTCTATCTTAGAATCTATGTTTACTATTGTCTACCTTAGAGTCTATGCTCACTATTGTCTGTCTTAGAGTCTATGTTCACTATTGTCTATCTTAGAGTCTATGTTCACTATTGTCTACCTTAGAGTCTATGTTCACTATTGTCTATCTTAGAGTCTATGTTCACTATTGTCTATCTTAAAGTCTATGTTCACTATTGTCTATCTTAGAGTCTATGTTCACTATTGTCTATCTTAGAGTCTATGTTCACTATTGTCTACCTTAGAGTCTATGTTCACTATTGTCTATCTTAGAGTCTATGTTCACTATTGCCTATCTTAAAGTCTATGTTCACTATTGTCTATCTTAGAGTCTATGTTCACTATTGTCTATATTAGAGTCTATGTTCAATATTGTCTACCTTAGAGTCTATGTTCACTATTGTCTATTTTAGAGTCTATGTTCACTATTGTCTATCTTAGAGTCTATGTTCACTATTGTCTACCTTAGAGTCTATGTTCACTATTGTCTATCTTAGAGTCTTTGTTCACTATTGTCTATTTTAGGGTCTATGTTCACTATTGTCTATCTTAGAGTCTATGTACTTTACAACGGCATTCTGTGGTCAGTTGTGTCTGACCGATGAGCTAAGATGTCGATACGGACAACAAATAACAACAAGTAATAGCTAACGATGACCGTCAATTGTTTAGTTAGTGCGGTATGTTAAGTGACCGGGTCTCGACTGGTCAGAAAGAACACTTTGAGGGTGAACTGGACCTTGCGTAACAAGGACGAAGAGACTTAAATGTTACGCAATCCTCATTAAACGTTTTTTTTTCCTAAGTAAAGGACCCTTTTCCACGCCTTTAGGCCTATTGTACATAGAGGGGTAGATCTATATTTTCATATCCCAATCGGCACTTGGTGGGTGATGTGGTCGGTATCACGCCAGCCGCCTTTACTTCCCAGGACTGCATCTCGTTCACACTCAAGGCAATTCTCATGAAAGCTATGTTAAAAGAACACAATTGCATTTGTAAACAAAAAATAGGGATTTCAAAGCAATGTTTCCCAGTTGTAAATTTGAACAGAGAAAACACAAACAATAGATTACACAGTTAATTGCTTTCAGTGATAAAGGATTCACTTATTCATTTATGTAATTGTTACTGCATAATACACCTGACGAGATACAGCGAAATACACCAGGCAATAAATTGTGCAATCTATTATTTGTGTCTTCTTTGTTTAGGTATGGTTTTGTTGAAGCCCCAGCAGACTGTGAAGCCCTATACTTTGGATCTTTTTTCCAGGATATGCTGGCGTGGTGGGGAATAAACAGGCAGACAGACTGGCTGGGTGGTGAATTGGTTCATGACAAGGCAGATGTGTTCAAGGACCTTTGGGAACAAACAACGGAATCAGTAGAGAAAGAAGATTATTATGGTCTGGAGAGAATGAGGCACCAGGGTGTAACCAGAGGGTCTGGCCGGCTAACTGCACTCAGAGAAAAAAGAAGACGGACATTTAATCAGATTGTGACGGGTACCATCAGTTTTGGAACTCTGCGCTGGCTGCTGAAGATGAGGACGGAGCATGCATGGGAATTCCCTGAGTGCTGTGATGTCAATACTTGACTCAACTCAAGTCATCTATAAAGCCAAAAGCTTCAGCTTAGCTAGCTTATGCCTTAATCTATAAATGATGTCATCATGTTGTGCCGTTTATCGTAACAGATGTCTCGTTGTCCTTTTCTTCTATCTTGCGCAATGACCAATATAGAATTAGCCAATAAATTCAACTCTCACTTGAAAGTTCTCATTCTGTGTTCATAACGTAAAAGTATTTTTCTTTCACTGTACACTATCACATTATCTTATAAGTTCGCATTTTATTCAGAAATTATAAAAAATTAAGGCCAAGGTTAGAAAACAAATCGTTTACATATAACATTTTAGATCATTGGGGACGTTGGGGTTCATACTGAGGGGAGGATCTGAGCACCTATGGACATGTCCGGAGTGCAATGACGATAACCCAACTAACTAACTAACTAACTAACTAACTAACTAACTAACTAACAAATTTTAGATCATTATTTTACGGGAAACCCCGATCGATGTTTTGGGGAAAAGTCGCGATCAATGGGTAAAATGGGAATTACGCTTGCAAACAGGAAGGTTGCGCGAGTCCTTTTTAAAACATTCGAGGTATTATGCATGATTCATACCCTTTTTGCGTCGTTTAGGTGGTTGCAGGTTCTCACTCTTCCTCTTCTTCTATCTCCTTTTCCCCCTCTCCCCACCTCTTTCTTATTTTCTTCATTTGACTAGATTGAAGCTTGCGGGCGAACTTAACTCTTGATATGGCCTATTCTTTGATGTCATTAGTGTTGTTTACACTATCCTCTGTTGACGGTTGTAGGAACGTTCTGGCACTTTTTTTATCCATTGCCCTACTTATGTCCTACCGTAAATTGTCTCTACATACAGCTAATTTTGACATTCAACATAAATTACTTTGTAGACTAAATATCAATGCGACAATTCCTGATAGGTCGTGGTCTGTTACTTAGGCGTTGTGAGCGGAGTATGGTTCGATCCCAACTGCGGATGATTTGTCTTGCATTGGTTTCGATAGTGCTACCGAGAGCTGACGGTTTAGAGAGCAAGGGCAAACTACTAAACGTGATAATGCTGGGGTTGATTCTGCTACGTCCTATAAAGGATAAACAGCTAAGTTTAAACTTTAAAATTCCTTATAGAGATAATAGAACAAGAGGTAGACAAAGAAGAAGATGGAAAGATAACACCAGATAATCTCTGCAGCACCTCGATCTGTTTATGGTAGACACCAGAAGAGGTAAAAGAGAACGTAGAGAAGAAGGATTCCTTATAATGTTTATCAATGGTCCTAACTTATTTAATGCCTAGAATATCATCATGCGTTTGTTGGTAGCATGATGCACTTTTGTGAACATCTTGTGAACTTCTTCTGACCAACCCAGTTCTTAACATTAACCCATTCTGTCCCAGTTCTTGCTTCAACTCTTTTCCCCTAAAAACGGTTTAAAAAATCAGATTAAAACACGCATTACTTACATTCATAACGTCTTATCATTCAGTCTCTTCAACATTGCACTCTTATAACACTATCATCCCCGTGTGGGGTCCCGGGCACCATTTGGGGAGGTGCGAGTGGGCGGGAGGGGGTAAATAAACCCAATGCCATTTAACATGCATGTCGTATAAAACCATTAATTAGGGGAGTTTCCTTTGAAATCGGAGTGCATCTGCCTGAGAGGCAAGGAACCAGTAGTCTGCATATAATTAAGTCAGATCCGTAAAACGGATGTGCACGCATCACTCAAGTTCTGCAAAAAGAGCAAAGTCCACAAATGGACTAACATCCAGGAATGTAACAAGAGTTTACAGCCGGTGAACGCTAAGAAAAGAGTCCAGTATTTTTTTCCACGCCTTCGGGCATATTGGTGGGTTAGGCCTAGAGCTACATTTTATAGATTAATCAGATCTAAGTGGGTGACGTGGTCATTATCACGCCGGCCGCCTTTACTTCCCATGACTGTATCTGATACCCATTTAGGGCTGGGTTGACCTTAAAGCTAAAGTCATGTTTGAAAAACGATGTCCGGCTCCGTCAGGACTTGAACCCACCCGAGTCGCATGCGAGCGTCTAACCTCTACACCACGACGGTTTCCTAAGAAGAGAGTAACACTAGGAAAATATCTCTCTCTGGAGAGTGGAGTGTGTGCATGAATATCCATAAATGTATGTGTGTGTGTTTTCTGTTTGTGCATCTATGTCTATGAATGCGTATGTGTTTTATGTTTGTGTATGTATGTAGATGCACGTGTGTATGTATCACGTATGTCTGTATATGAGTGTGCATGTATGAGAACGTAGGAGTATGTATACGTGTGTGTGAGTGTGTACGATTGTGTACACATGATGTGTGTATGCATTATTCTATAATTTATATTTCTTCATTATATCCATAACATGCATTATTGATAACAGGCATTGGTACTCTGAAAAATGAGTGCTTAGAAGAGCCGAATGTCAGACGTGCCCAATTTGTAACCCTTTGAAAATAAAGTTTGTTCATGCGTTCGTTTGTTCGTTCTCTCTCTCTCTCTCACACACACACACTCTCTCTCTCTCTCTCTGTCTCTCTCACTGTGTGTGTGTGTGTGTCTGTATGTCTCATGCCTCTCTTCCCTCAAAGCCTTCCTATCGTCACAAATAGATGCAGCCTTTTTTATTAACTTGTAAAAACAATTAACATATCTGTGCTTGAATTAAATCATACAAACTCACTTGATCACTCTGAGGTAAGTAACCTTGAACTTGACCTTGCACGTGTGAAGGTTGTCTGTAACCACCAAAAACTACCGGGGCAGGGTGTCTTTGTTGGTACACGCATGCCGTTTGTGGATAGCACCCCTGGTACACGTTCCAAATATTGCGTTCATGATGATAGTGATGATATCCATTGACCATGGCATAAGGATCCAGTGGAGAGGGTGGAGTCTCTACCACTCCGCCCTGTGGACTGTACCGGAAATTACTTTCCAGACGTGACAGGTCGTGGTACTGCGCCCTGTTTCGAGTGCTTGCCGGGGATCCAACATGGATGGATGTCTTAGGGCAGTTTCTCAAGTGTGGACGCAAACCAGGTTCATGAGCAAACTGGTACATGCCTGCCATTTTTACCTAGTCTTAATAAAATTGAAAAAAGGCAACATATTATAATATAATAACACTACACGTGTAAAACAGTAACATTATTCAAACAAATAAAAATTTCAGTCTCGATGCATTATCAGTTTGCATGTGTAAGCGTTAGCATGTTATGAATAAAATGGAGAGGGTATCTCTATGGAGAGTACACAAAATGCCACTGTTCGGATGAGAATCGCAAATCCCAGGAACCCTGATCAACCGTTATGTTATATTTAGGGCCCCCTACCGGGTGGGGCTTAAAAATAGCTAAAACATTGCTTCCCAAATAGGGGCTGGGGTTAGTAAAAAAAAAGCCTATATATATATATATATACATATAGAGAGAGAGAATGAGAGAGAGAGAGAGGGATGGAGAGAGAGAGAAAGAAAGAAAGAGAGAGAGAGAGAGAGAGAGAGAGAGAGAGAGAGAGAGAAAGGCTGCCTTGTGGTTAAGCCGTATGCCTCTTTTTCTGCAGGTCGTAGCTTCATTTTAGAGCTGGGTCGTTCAACTCAAGAGATTCATGAATGTAATTTTCACAAATGTTTCTGGAGCTACGGTGTTCGTTCTTTGTGCGCCGCTCTCGGCAGGCGTCTAATCGATCTATTGAGAGACCCCGAGCCATACTGGATAAAACCCGGTGTAATGAAGTGGATCCTTTTGTATTTAACTGTAACTGTATGCATTAGACAGAAATAATAACACACACACACACACATATATATATATATATATATATATATATATATATATATATATATATATATATATATATATAATATTAATATCAAACAGTACCGACGATATCTAGATAGATTGCTGTTAAACAAGAATATATTAGCATACAGTACTTACCAAACTGCAACTGTTCTGTTTAAAGGGTTGGACGAACGAATCTTCAAAAACAGACCCTCTTCATTTGCCGTGTCTAGTTCATCTTCAGAAAGACGAAGTTTCAGTTACATGTCATAATATTATTGAAATCTCCACACACATTACAATAACATCTTGACAGCATGAGCTACCGCCAAACGAACTAGGACGTTTTATGTGCTGCTTAATCAGTACAAACACGTGACTTGCCAACTCTAAAGGACTTCCTTGAAAAACACATAATTGTGGGAATTCCCAATGAACCTTTTGTCCCCCAAAAATATCCTGTAATCCAATGTTCTTCAAGCCGTGGGCCTCAGAAAAGTTCAGTTGGGCTGCCAAAATATTCATTCTGCTTAGGTAATGCAGGTGGTGTTTTGCTTCCAGTCTGTAAGAATTAGCACATCGTGCACTTCCTACTCATATAAAATGACTTTCTAAAACACATTAGTTAAACAAAGCAGAGAAATCAAATTGATGTTAGTGTAGCGCTACGTCTATCAGAAACAGGTCTCAAGCCACATATATCAGATAATCTAATCTTCGAACTTAACAAGTTAATATATATTTGGTTAACTGCAAGATAAGCCGCGAGAAAAGAATAATGTAAGAGTTATTGTTTGCCCAAATTGGATATGCTAGGCCAAAGATGCGGATATCACAGTGTAGCAGAACACTGCAGTTCAACATGCTAATGGCGCATTTAAGAGCTAACGAAGAAGAAGAGGAAGAAGAAGAAAGACGAAAATCAGGGAAAAGAGAAGACGGAGATAACTACTTCCGTTTTCTTCGCAATTTTTTTTAAATAAGTGATGCTGAATATTTTTTCTCTGTGAATGTATTATTAAAATTGGATATCTTTTTTGTTTCAACTGAGAAAATCTAGTTTTGTTCAAAGTATCATAAAGATACACCTGTAAAATTGCCAGAGTTCGACCCCGCAGAACATGGACCGCAGAAATATAAGAGACAGAAAGTAATATATACGAAGCAAACAGAAGGGTAAGTTCTAGAGAACTCTTCTGTCTTAACGCCGCGAGGCATTTCAGGAGTAGAGAAAAGAAAAAGAACAAGAAGACGTTCAATGTGTACCAGACAAATGGAGAAAGGCTTATTCTGTTTAGGAAGATGAATTCTCTATCTCCCTACCGTCTTTCTTCACCTCTCTCTCTCTCCCACTTTCCCAAAATAGACCTAATATAAGTGCATTTTTTCTGTAACTCATTCTCTCCTTCTCTATATTCTTATATCGCTACCTCCATTTTCTCTGTGTCTGTCATTCAGTCTCTGTATCCCGAAGTCTTTTTGTGTCTCTCGCTCACTACATTCATTATCTCCTCGTCACTTTTCCTCACATTTTTAACTCACCGTTTTTTTCTTTCTATCTATCTATCTATCTATCTATCTATCTATCTATCTATCTATCTATCTATCTATCTATCTATCTATCTATCTATCTATCTATCTATCTATCTATCTATCTATCTATCTATCTATCTATCTATCTATCTATCTATCTATCTATCTATCTATCTATCTATCTATCTATCTATCTATCTATCTATCTATCTATCTATCTATCTATCTATCTATCTATCTATCTATCTATCTATCTATCTATCTATCTATCTATCTATCTATCTATCTATCTATCTATCTATCTATCTATCTATCTATCTATCTATCTATCTATCTATCTGTCTGTCTATCCTATCTATCTGTCTATCTATCTATCTATCTATCTATCTATCCTATCTATCTATCTATCAATCTATCTATCTATCTATCTATCTATCTATCTATCTATCTATCTATCTATCTATCTATCTATCTATCTATCTATCTATCTATCTATCTATCTATCTATCTATCTATCTATCTATCTATCTATCTATCTATCTATCTATCTATCTATCTATCTATCTATCTATCTATCTATCTATCTATCTATCTATCTATCTATCTATCTATCTATCTATCTATCTATCTATCTATCTATCTATCTATCTATCTATCTATCTATCTATCTATCTATCTATCTATCTATCTATCTATCTATCTATCTATCTATCTATCTATCTATCTATCTATCTATCTATCTATCTATCTATCTATCTATCTATCTGTCTGTCTATCCTATCTATCTATCTGTCTATCTATCTATCTATCTATCTATCTATCTATCTATCTATCTATCTATCTATCTATCTATCTATCTATCTATCTATCTATCTATCTATCTATCTATCTATCTATCTATCTATCTATCTATCTATCTATCTATCTATCTATCTATCTATCTATCTATCTATCTATCTATCTATCTGTCTGTCTGTCTGTCTGTCTGTCTGTCTGTCTGTCTGTCTGTCTGTCTGTCTGTCTGTCTGTCTGTCTGTCTGTCTGTCTGTCTGTCTGTCTGTCTGTCTGTCTGTCTGTCTGTCTGTCTGTCTGTCTGTCTATCTATCTATCTATCTATCTATCTATCTATCTATCTGTCTGTCTGTCTGTCTGTCTGTCTGTCTGTCTGTCTGTCTGTCTGTCTGTCTGTCTGTCTGTCTATCTGTCTATCTGTCTATCTATCTGTCTATCTATCTATCTATCTATCTATCTATCTATCTATCTATCTATCTATCTATCTATCTATCTATCTATCTATCTATCTATCTATCTATCTATCTATCTATCTATCTATCTATCTATCTATCTATCTATCTATCTATCTATCTATCTATCTATCTATCTATCTATCTATCTATCTATCTATCTATCTATCTATCTATCTATCTATCTATCTATCTATCTATCTATCTATCTATCTATCTATCTATCTATCTATCTATCTATCTATCTATCTATCTATCTATCTATCTATCTATATCTGTCTGTCTGTCTGTCTGCCTGTCTGCCTGCCAGTCTGTCGTAAAGATTTATTTAACGCTATTTTAAAGAGTGATTTTTCTTTCTGTATTAACATTAGGAATGTTTTTTTTTTTCAACTTCCTGTGCACTGACATTGTCTTGTGACTGAAGCTGGTCACTATTCTGAAAGCTGATGCTCAAAAATAACAAAGTCATGTGATATTATGAGATGACAAATATCTGTTTGTGTTATCATTATTTATCTTTGTATTTATCGTTCTTAATAGCGTAAGCGGGTGATATTAACTTGGCCAAGATACCAATACTCTTTAGTTATCGATATTTGCGTCTTTGATATTTGAAATTAGCTGTTATTATGGTCACTAAAGCGGGCGATAGTTGTCAACACAGCAAACAATGTCGGGTTGAGAACCTAAACAAACAAACAAAAAGGTTTGATTAGAGAGGATTCAGTTCATAGCACCTGGTTTTATATCCTATGGCTCTGTCTCTCTCCGCATTACGACCAGCCGGCTGCCGAGAGCGTCGCACAAAGCACAAACTCTGCATCTGCGGCGGCGATCTAAAGGGATCTTCATAAAAATTGCACTTTTGAACTGAAGGGTGCTGCTGGAAAACGAACCAAAGACTCCTAGAGCGCCAGGCAAACGGCTTGAAAACTTTAATGTTTTAACCCCCCGGATTAAAGATCTTCCTTATGTTAATACAGACTGTTGTTTCCTCGACTCTTAGATAGATGCACTTCAGTTTACAAGGAAATTTCCCAAATTAGTCAACTATTACAAGTTTTTTAGGGAACAGTGGATCTATTAACCCCCCCCCCTCCCACCTTTCTGTCCTCCCCCGTAGCGCAGGGACCATTTGAGTAAATGCCTTAATTACCTACCCAACTGCCGAACAGCATTATCATCATCATCATCATCATCGCACAATCCAGCAAGGCTTAAGCGTACTGACCCGCCCCTTGATACCATTACAGGCAGTTGACAGACCCCCTTACAATTATTGGGGGTGGGAGTGCTTGGACACCCTCTCCTAGAAAAAGATGAAGGCTTGAGGCGCTCAAATTGTTTGAGAGCCCAGATCGGGGTGTCTGTGCACTTGATTGATTGGTTCTGTGTTAACTCCTCTCTCCACATATCATCATTTGTTTGATTCCACATTAAATGCAACTTTGTCTCACCACTCGACCGCCATCACCTCTGTTTATCTTTCCTAAATCCACCGATTTCTT